AAGGTTTCACAAAGTGAAGTTATGGCAACTCAATGTTAACTTACGGACGAGATACTTCGCGCTCGTTCTCATGCAGCATGGTTTACAACGTAGCGGATAAGATAGCCGATTGGTTGATATGGTAGCTTCATCGATTAATGTGGTTGTTTTCAAAAACTTCTAGGCATGTTCTTCCCACGCCATCATTATCAATCGTTTTTGCCCTTTTTTGAACTGGGGTTGCTGCTTCAGGTAAAGTATTCATCATTAGTCGGTTCCTTTCAGTGGAAAATGGATTGAGAGTTGGTTGCCGATCCGGTTAGTGTTCGTGGACTTCTATTTTGCAAGCCTGAAATTTGACTTGTTCGCAAAGAATGTTGAATCGAAATCAGATCATTTTGTAAAATAGATAAATTTCTTCCGAAGGTCATACGATTAGATGTAGAAAAGTATAATTTCAGTAGAAAAACTTTTATTCAAAAAAATGGCAGTGCTCATGGGAGTCCTAATACAATACTGGAGAAAGGGCTTTTTGTATTCTAATGTGACAAAATTCGGAACTTCGTATTTGCGCTGAGCTTGCGCGAAATTTGTACCATTTCCTGAGAGGATGTTATAGGTCATCGGAAGGGTTTTGTTTAGTTCAGAAATGGCAGATTAGGCCGCGACGCCTGTTCTGCATGATCTTCCAAATGCAGTGAAAACGGAGGTGTTTTGAGAGAAGTCATATGACAAGCGAGCTTAGCTGAAGAAACTCGTCATTGCTTGGCAAAAGACACCTTTTCAAAGGTCTCTGAGGGAGGTAGAAGCTGCTTTGTTTTTTCGAATCTAGAAACCATGCGAATATTCTTTTCAATTTTTCTACCGCTCTGGCGATGCATCAATCGTGTATAAAAGCTTGCAAGTTCTCGAATCAACGTTCCCATCGTTCACTTCGAATTCATTGGACGATGGCGATTTAGGGACCACCTGTGCTTGCTGAGGACTTCCTCGACATTAATGGCCAGCCGATCAATCCATGGTCGCGTATTTACCCTGAAGAAATGATTCAAACTGGGATCTCTGCAATTGACGTCATGAACTCAATTGCTCGTGGACAGGTGATTTTGCTTTTTTTTTACAGTTTTTTTTGCCTGAAGAGGTGAATTTTTTTACAGTCACTCCGGGGATGAGGCGGGCGTTAAAGCTTAAAGAGGTCACTGCTTAGCAAACTTTAACACGTTACCGCGCAGTTTACTATGGTTTGTTTCACTTCGACCGTTTCAGAAAATTCCTATTTTCTCTGCAGCTGGTTTGCCACACAATGAGATTGCTGCACAAATTGTGCGTCAAGGAGGTACGCTTTCTTCTTTCCTATTACATGCTATCA